CCGCAGCTAGCAGCCCGGCGCATCACTTACCCCTCACCGTGGAGAGGGACCGGACGTGGGAGGCGGGGCGCCGCGCGTCCCGTGAATCTTTAGCACGCAGTCTTCCCCCACCCCGCCGCCGCCTCCACGTCCGAGCTACGGGCCCCTCAGCTCCGCTGGGCAATAACGTTATTCCACACACGCCCCGCACATAGCGGTAACGGCAGAGAGCCGCCGCCTAATGCGCAGGCGCTTGGGGAAAGGGCGAGGAGCCCGGCCCTGTCCCCTCCTCCCGCCTGGCCCGACGATCTCTTACTGCGCAGGCGCCAGCCCCAGACAATGAAACGGACTTGTGCGGAGGGTCTCACCCACACGATTTCCCAGCTGCCCAATGCGCAGGCGTGCCCCCTAAAGACCCGCTGGAACAATGAAGGGGACCCTGGTAAGAGTCGGGACTGCAACCAACGTGCACTACAGTTCCCAGCGGGCAATGCGCCAACTCCAAGCCGAGGTGGGGTTGCTGGGCGTGCTAGGAGTTGTAGTGTCGGCCCCCTTCACAGAGAAGGGCTGTTTGGAAGATTTAGCGCTTCTTTCCTTGAGAATTTACTTCACCGTTTACACAGATTCGCAACTAAGGTTTAGAGTTTATTACTTGCTTCCTTCAAGAGCTTCGGGGGTTAACTACATACGAGCACATTTTGAAGCGTCAAGTCCTTCAGTGAGCCCTTTCGGTTAGTTGGGTGGTCCAAACAACGCAAGGATGGGAAGAAGGCAGGACTCAGCAGGGCCGGGCTAGAGGGAAAGGGCGGAGCTTCCAACACAGTCTCTTGGCAACAGGCTTTGGCCGCCAAACCGCTCAATCAAATCCCTTCTGGGAACTGTAGTGTAGCTAGAAGGTCCGAGGCTGCACACCATGCGATTTTGAACTACAACTCCCGACCTGCACAGGGAGGGCCACAAGGTAGGAAGAGTCCTCCAGCGCCCGGTCCGGAGTTCCAGGCTCCCCAGTGACAGCAGCGGCAGGAAGCGGCGGGCGTCCCCTCAGTGCTAGCCCCGTCCTCGGAGGGGACATATCCCCACGTAGGTCCCACCTCTAGGCCCAGAGTCTGTGCATGGCGAAGTCCCCAGGGCACTCTACCCTGGAGGAGATTCTGGGGCAATATCAACGGAGTCTCCGGGGTGAGTTGCTCCAAACCGAGGTGCCTAGCGCTTTGGTACCTTAGTGGGCGGGAGCAGATCAAATGCCCTCACTTGGGCTGTAGACAGGCTACGGAGGAAGAAGATGGATGTGGCACTGATTTTTGAGAATGAAAATTTTCTTCACGGTTAAGCAAAGCTGTTTCCTTTGATTCTTTTAATAGTTTCCTAACTCAACAAGGTGCCCTAATCTTAACTTAGCATCTCTCTTAACTAGTGCCACCGGAAACTCGTGGAGGGCTCTATGCCACTTTAGTCCCCTTTCCATACTTTGCCTTTTAATCTGATGAATTCACAGTTCTTTTACACAAATTACAGTGCCGCGAATTGAAGGCGATTTAAAGACAAGGGGAAAACATCAATTGTTATTTGAATCACAGTAGTTTGCTGCTTGAGTGCAGTAAATCATGTAAAACTTACAACAATATTATGTAGTAGTCTTATTTTATATATGGCCAAGTGTAAAATAGGCCAAAGCCTGCACAGCTGGTGTGTAGCAGAGCCAGGTATTAAATTCAGGCACGTTTACCTTCAAAGCCTAAATCTTTTTAGTTAATTCGGGTTTTCTTATTACAGTACCTATGAGTGTGCAGAGGTGATGTCCATACTTGCAGATGACTCTGTTGGGTAACAAATATAATCCCTAGAAAATTATTATAATAGAAGTTATGATACCACCTATCTATAGTGGAATTATGAGGAGCAAATGAAATAATCCACATAAAGCAGCGATTTTCAGACTTCTTAAAAAATTGTTACCCATAGTAAGAAATATTTTATACGGAGTATATGTACATATAAACTAAAAGAAAAGCTTTACTAAAAAATTCTTATACTACTCTATGCCATACACTATTTGTTATTCTGTTGCATTAAAAAATTCCTCTAGGTTATGAGGAACAGTAAAAATATATAAAAATTTAGAGTGCTAAATTATTCAAAAATATTTTTGTGCCTACTCTTTGTTAGGCATACTATGTGCTGGGGATGCAATAGGAACAAGATAAAGTCCCTGTCTCCGTGGAGTTTCTAGATTAGGGAGGGAGAAAGACAATAGAGTAATTGCAGATCACTGTGTTAAAAAATAAAGATGATGATCGGTGCTTGGCACATAAGCACTCATTAAACATTAGCTGCTGTTTATATGTGGTACTTGAACTAAAATAAAGGGGTTTTTTAGGAAGAAGTTATCTTGTGACTCTAGAATTGATAGTTATTTATTTTCCATCTATCAGTATTGTTAGAAACTGTCAACATGTTTTGCACTCAGGCTACAAAATTAAAGTTAAAGGAACCGTCTTAGTACCTTCATCAGCTTAGAGCTTTCAGCAGCTGTTAGATATAGAAGAAACCACTTCTAACTTTTCATTTGGAATCAAGAAAATTGTGCCCAACAACAGAAGTAATTTTACTTTTTTTTTTAAGTTGTTAAAAATTTTCTGTTTTCCATTATGTTTCTTTTAACGCTTTTTCTCTTTTTACTTTGTTTTAAGCCTATATGTTACCACTGGGAATTTTTCAAGTTAGGTATTTTGATACAATTAGGGGGTTTATTTCAAACTACTGTTATAATAACATGGTTAATACCACTGGTATAGCTTTCAGTAATTAGAAAATGAAGAATTTTCATTTAACAACACATTTCAAAATAAGTTTTTTTAATCTTTAAATATTGGTTTATGATACAGCTTTGAGAATTAACTTTGAACTTTAGTACAATCAGAAGTTCTTTACTTTGCAAATATAAATATAAATTTGCAAATATAAACTACTTTTAGGAAGGATACTTTCTTTTAAAGTAAAATTGTATGCTTTTAAATAATCAAAATGTTCTGGAGTTATTTTATATGTGGAACTTTGTTATTTCTATGATTTTGCCTAATAATTTAAGAATTGTGTTATTAGAATATCTTGCCTCATTCATACCTAGTGGAAAGCTAATAAATGAGCTTACCTGACTAATTAATCTTATATCTGTACATGTAATCATTACTAATATCCCTTATTTTTGTTCAGCCAGGAAGAGATACATGCAAATGCAAAAGGCCCTCATAATTTTCCACAAATTACTACCTCTAGATTTTATAACATTTCCACTTTTATTCATTTTAAGTATAACTTTTTGAAACTATTGTAGTATATTAAAAATTTGAATTGAAAATATGAAAAGCACAGTCAGTGTTCACAGTTTACTTTTTTTTACCCAAAGCCTGAGTGGAATCCTTGATTCTTCTGGACTCAGATTGTGCTGGAGCAATCTTGAAAACAGGAAGCCTCATTTGCAGAGTCCACACTCATCTCTTATCCTTTCCCTTATACTTTTCAGATGTGTGCACAGTGTGATCCCTTCAAAGAGCCCTCCTTTTTTGCTTATTATTTAAAGATTTTAATTGGCTTACTTTGCAATTCTAGAATTGGCCAATACTCCCCTCATTAAAATAGAGTATGTGTTCCCAGATATCTCTTGCTTTGGGTCTCCTGTGCCCACTCTGAAAGAAATTGGAGAGTTTTAATGATTCTTCTTCAAAATGAGAGTTCTGGCAGAAAAGTTGGAAGACTTTCATTGCCGGGCAGATCTATAATAGAATTTCTAGCTGGGTATGGTGGCACAGGCTTGCAATCCCAGTACTTGGGAGGCTGAGGCAAGAAGATTACTGTGGGTTCAAGGCCAGCCTGGGCTAAATAACAAATTCAAGTGTAGACTGAACCACATAGTAAGACCCTGCCTGGGGTTGGGGGGCTCCTCTCATAGTAAATAATACAAAATGTTTCAGTGTAGCAAAATAATGGACATTGTCTAAGGTGATCTGGGAGCCACAGAATTTAATCTAAAATCAGAGGCAATTTGTACAGTCTTCTGGAAGTATGGTTAGGTGTTTCATTTACTGTATAGGCAATAATTCAAAATCACAGGATGGCTGAGAACATATTTATAGGTGGGGACGTTAGTAAATAATTCCCCTCCTATAATTTAAATTCAATGCATCATTGTATTAGGCCATGAAGTATAAAGTAGTTTGTAGCCAAAAAGGATGAGAAAAGCCAAAATAATGGGCAACTCAGTCTGCTTTAAGTTTCTGCACACTTGAGTACAAAGATGTGATATTTTTTTAGAAAGGACAGACAGCTCTAAAAATGAAGTATCCTAACCTTAATGACAAAATAATGTCTCATCTTTGCTATAGTGTTGGGAATACATATAATCTTTTTTTTGGTGTGTATACCAGGGATCAAATTTAGGACCTTGTGCTTGCAAGGCAGGTGAGAGAACCACTGAGCTAAATCCCCAGCCCCGGAATAGATGTAATCTTATCAGCAACACCTATACACATCACTGACCTATTCTGGTAGTTTCAAGCCACTTTTGCCCAGATAGACATAAAAAAAAAGTACCAATAAACTTCATAATTCAAAAAACCAAAATAGTATAACCAAACATGTAACTTCTTTTCTCTATGCATTTTGTATGCTAGTTCTCCAGTTTTCTTTGAAGACTTTGATGTCTCAGCCTCTAGACACCTTCTGGGATTTGGAGGAAGAGTATAGTGGAGTCAAAAAACACAATGTACAGCTAAGAGCCAGGTCATTGAACTTAGCTTTGCTTATAACCATATGTGTGACCTTAGGCAAGTTAATAAACTGTTCTTGGATTTCTGTTTCCTCATTTGTAAAATGAGAAGTTTGGAGTGAATGCAGAGAAACATTGTTTTTAGGAGCCAATCAGATGACAAAATGTGGAACAGGGTGAGCAGAAGGCACAAGGGAAAGGTGAAGCTTATTTTTTCTAAAAGCAGTGTCTTTCTTCCTTCCCCCCAACCCTTTTCTTTTTCTTCTTCCTTCCTCCTTTCCTTTCTCCAAGAAAGTCAAGCACAACACACCCAAAGGCCTAGTTCTTCCTCTGGGCACCACTATCTGACCCTTGAATTGCTAATGTGTGTCCAGTCCATCACCACTCAGTTGGACTATGTAAATTATAAAGGCTGTTTCCGCCTTTGGAAAATAAGAGTAAGGAGTTGGACTAGGTGAAAGTAAGAGGGTATATCTGAGGAAGGCCCTTTTTTTGTAAATCGTTCTAGTTCGAGAAAACCAGAGATAATGTTGATGTTCTCTGTGGTACTTGAATCTGATTGGCACCTATTTCCAGATCCTGCAAAAATGCTTGGCTCCTGCCAGAAAAGGGGTCACATATGTAGAATGGCTGTGTTAATCTTAGCTTTTGGCCGGAGGATTAAGCAGCAGTGATATCATCTGTATCTTTGACAGACTTAAGAAAATGCGTACAACTTAAATGAAAATTCTTTTTCTCTGATTTACTCATTAAACAATTTTTCTCTTTTTTTCCCAAATGTTTTCTGGATATTAGTTACATTTACATATGTATAGATGTATGTACATATATATGTATCAGATTTTATGATTTTACTGGTCAAGTGTATTTTATATGTATTCTTTTTGTTCATATAGTCTCATGGCTTTTTTTTTTTAGTAGTTTTAACTTTTATCATTTTCTTTTGCTAGAATAAAAATACAATGGTGCAAACTTTTCCCACTATTAGTAAGGTAAAATAAGCAAAAAAAAAAAAAAAATGATTGATGCCAGAAGAATGTTTAACAAGTTTCAAAACTATGGTTCAGTGATATGAAATTGTAAGGGCACTTTCAAATGTCCTTGAGTGGAAAAGGTACAAAATACTGAGATTAATTATATTCTCTTTTGGAATGCTGAAAGACTTACATTTCAATTGCATCCCCAGTTTATGTTAG